TAAATTTTAAATTATTATAGTTTGACCAATTTTTACTTAAATTCTTTGAAATTTTTATGTATCACGTAATATATTATGATGAATAACTTTACTTATGAAACTGAAGTTACATTTATTAATAAAAAAGAAAGTTTACTTATATCCAACTTTACCCAATTAATTTAGTAATTTGCATAGTGTCCAGATACTTTTGTTCTGTGTGTAGTTCACGTAAATCTGATTGTTTCTCCCTTGATACTAAAGTATAACTCGCTAGTAGTAAATTTATAGAAATGGCAAAACTCCAAGTTGGTGATAATGTTTGTAGTAATGTCAAAAATGAAAATCTTGAATTTTCTGAAATTTATTTGATATCTCACTTAGGACATTATGAGTTTTCTTTGAAAATAATAAAGATTGAGTTCACAAAATTTGATAGGCAAAAAGGTGTTTTTTATTTCATTTTATTGACTGTTTTAAAGATCTTAAGTTGTGATAATAATTATTTTTTTTTAACTAGACCAAATTCGCATAACATCCATGCATTGCATTTTTCGTGAAGATCTATCAGTTTTGTATGCTCAAGATGTGATGCCTGGTGAAACAAAAATCTTAGTTTTGAACAAAATGAATGAACTTATTCCTGTCATAGTTGATGATTTAATAATTGTATGACTATTTTTATTTCTTTCTGTTTGTTCTAATGCATCTTTTATATTCTTAAACTTAAATCTACCTTTCAAAATTAGAAAAAAGATACTAGTTATATCAGTTTTTATACACGTGCTGGCACTGTGATTGCTAACAATACTTTGTATTTATGTTATGATAATTGTTTACCATCGCAAGCTTTAATGGACCTTGCATTTGCACTAATTCATTGTGGACTAAAATGTTCCCCTCTAATTATCGTCAAGAAGAACTTTACCTATATATGCAAACTTTGGAGTCTACTTACTTTACTTGGTGCAATACATTGAATATTGGCAAACAATTATTAGGTCTATAATTGGTTACATTATACTTTCTTGTATTAAAAAGTCGAAATTGTGAAGAATTTTTGAAACAATATCCTTATTATAATATGAGTAAAGTGATTAAATAGTTGCGGGCAAATTTATGGTGATTTATAATTTCTTTTTTTTATAACTTCCTGATCTTTTGTTTTTTAGTTTTCATATGTAATTTTTTTTATTTTTTTTTAAATTAATTATATATTTTATATTTTTTATTTTCTTATTTTATTTTTTTTTGAAATTTTTAGATTTTTGTTCATTTTGTTTTTATTAATATTCTTTTTTATAATTTATATCGTTTGTAAGGTGTTCGTTTATCCAAATAAAATTTTATACTGTGATATTTACTCACATTATTAAGACCCAGAAGCGAATCTGGGTTTACTGGATTCGTTTTATTAGTGCAATCAAGTTAGTCTAAGTATTAGCATACCATCATTGTAGATTACGGATTATGTAATATGTTTTCTTGATGAACGATGTGTAATTTTGATATTACTACAAGTTATGCAAAAGTGAAGCTGCTATGTAAAATACGGTAGTAAGTAGAGTTTGGAACCAGATTTATTTTTTGAATCTGGATTAAATATAACAAACCCAGTTTCCTTCAATAAATCTGAATTTAAATAAATCTGATTTCTTTGATTAATCCAAATTCGGTTTCTTTGATATGTCTGTGCGATATAAAAACATATATTAATGTTCCTTCCCAAACAGAAATAATTTTTATTTCACTCCGGACGTAACATATTTTTTTATATAAGCCCAATATTCCCTATAAACAAGCACTATATTTGTTTCTGAAACTAATACGCCTCTACTTCTGTTGCTTAGATAATATTAAAAATATGATACAGAAAACTTATTGAATTTTTGCGTGGTGAGAAGAACTTGGGGCTCAATGAGGTTGACGAGAAAATCATTCACAATAAGAAAATTAATGGTCATGCCTTCCTTAAGATAACTATTGAAAAATTTGAGCGTTGTGGATTTGAAATAAAAATTGCAACAAATCTCGCAGATTTCGCTAAGGAGTATACTTGTTTATCACATGTTAATTATAGCAAGCATTCAATATCTAACCATGATTTTCTCATTAATTATAAGAAATCTTTAAGTCATTTGTTATCAGTTAGATCAACCAATAATATTTTGCACGATTTTGTGTTACATATAAATAGTTAATCCAAACTTAATTTATTAAAAAATTATATATTTTGTAATATAAATTTTCTTCAGTATATAAAATTCGTGTTTGTATCATTTGATAAAAATATCATGATTTGCGTTTTTATGTGATTAATATAATACTTCAAATGCTCTAACAGTTTCTGTTACCTAGTTTATATTAAATGCTACAACTCCTATAGGTATAATTATCTGTATCTATTTATGTTTGGAGAAAAGATAAGAGAAATATGTAAGGCACTTTACGTACGTCAAAATTTTGTGTTAAAGAATAAAGACATGTAAAATATACATTAAAGATCTTGACATTTACAAAGACATTGGAAACGATACATATATATACTTTTTTTCATCTCATTTGCTTGATCGTTCAATAATCAAAGTTTAGTAATATTATATAAATATATTCTGGTTAAAATTTAGTAGGAATAGGCTATAGCTCTAGAGAAAATAAACTTATAAATAAATGTTATTCAACTAGGAAAAAAAAATTTGAAATATTTTATAAAAATTATTTTATCACACAGATTTGCAGTGTATCACTTATAATTACACAGCCGTATATAATCATGATACTTTGTCCGTTAAGTAATTTTTTACAGTGCGAGTTTATTTAAACTTTATCCATTGTATTATAAATTATAAGCTATTAAATAATAACAATGCAATATCAATATACATAATTATTTATTATATAATATTATTAGAGATTTAAAAATTATTATTAATATTAAAGGTAAAATAACAATTATAGAAAGTATTATCTTTTTAAAAAGCTAGAAGTAAGAAATTATTTTCCATAAATTTACTTTCGTTTATCGAAGTTTATTGTACAGAATTATTATATTTAATAAAATTATTATTTTAGTTATCTTGGTGAACTTTTTGCAATTCTACAGATTATAAAGATTGGTTAATTTTTATAAAAAAAATGCATAAATTAAAATGATAAAATATAAACTTTGATAAAAAGAAAGAGCTGAAGTGAAATTTTTGGGTTAATTTAATTAATTATCTAAAAAAAAAATATTAAAATTTGTAATTTAATTAAAATAATTAAAATATAGAATAAGTTATATTTACCAATTTTATTAGATTGCATTATATTAGAAATAGCTTATATTAAATTTTTTGAACTAATTTTTTGTAAAAACTTTGTGAGGTCATTTATATGCTACTTATCCTTTAATGGTTTTATGTCTCAATAAAGCTATAACTTCTAGATCTGAAGCACCATTTGACTTTAAAATTGTAACACCAGTTTTTCTTTCTAAATATTTACTAATAAAATGATCTTCAATATTGATATCAGTAGATTTGCATATATCACTCATAAAAAACTAAATTCCAATTCTTTGTGCTATATTAAAAAATAATAATATTAGATTTTAATAAAATTAAAAGAATAATAAAATATTTATTATATTCTAAAGAATTTGGCTGTAAATAAAATTGCAAATCAGAATTAATTGGTCTTTTTTCAAAGTAATCATTGTAATTCTGTATTATATTAAGATTATCACTTGAGATATACAGAATATTAGCTTATATTTCAAATCGATTTATATTTCTCTGATTTGCTTTTGATTTATATAAATAAACAGTAAAACTACTATTATTCTTTTTCTTAAAATTTGATACTAATAATTTATAATACTCGCCTCTTCTAAGCAATAAAAAAATTGCATTTCTGAAAAAACACGATATAATAACCCTTCTGATGTAGATTTATCCAATTGAAGATGTTTAAAAATCATAGCAACTTCACTTTCACTTAAAGAAAAAGTAGCTCTTCATTTACCTAGTCCCTGCCTTGCAAGTTGTTTAAATTTTTCATTAATTACTTGCTATAACTTATAGAATTTCTCTTGATTTAATATATTTACTCGATAGATTACAAAATATTTAGATAAATGTCGTGCAATAGCATAAACTCCAACTTTGACAGATTGTGCTTTATAATCTTTTCTATTAACTATTCGCATTGCTACAATAAATTTAATGATTTATTCTTCAAGTTCCTTTTCATTATCAATTTCTTCAATTTTTCCATTTAAATTTATATCTTTCAAAACTTTTCTAATTGTATAATCCAGTTATTGGTAGACTTATCAGTTAAAGGACAACAGCTAGAACTAACTATTGCTTATATTTTTTTAATATTAGGTTCATTGTATTTAAAAGTTGGCTAATAAAAATAAAATTTAAATATTGCTAAAAATTGTTTGAAAATAAATAACTTTAAAGATAATATATATCTTTACAAATGGTTTTTGTTTTGCTTTTGGCATAATAAAAAATGTATAAATGGTAAAAGAAAGGGGAAAGTAGGAAAAGAAAAAAAAGCAAATAAAATTTTATTATGATCAGGATTAAATAATTATATCATAACTTCATGAGTAATCGTTGATTACTTTACAGTTCACATGAGTTATATTTAATTAGTTAGGATTTTACTACTTACATAGTAAAATCCTAACTAATTAAATAAACTCCTGTGAACTGTGAAGTAATTAAAGATTACCCATGAAGTTACTATCAATAATATAATTAAAATATTTCTGAAGTTTTTTTTAACTTTAGCTTTATTTTTTTATATTTTATTATTTCATAATTATTACTATTTCCTTTTTATTTTATAATAAAATATAATAATTATATACAAATAAAAATATAAATTATACAAGAATCAGAAAATTGCAATAACTCATGTGATTTATATTAATTCTAAAATATCTTAATTGAAACTATAAGGAGTAATTATTTTTATAATATAAAAAAACTTTTATCGCATTTAGAATTCGCTTATTAAATTTTTTTCATTGCTAGCTCAGAGTATTGAAATCTAAATATTTAAAATAGCAAACTGAGTGTAAAATATATTAATATAAATAGAATTAGGTAAAGTAATAAAGGGGTTAAGTGAAGGAAATTGAGAAGGTAGTGGTGGTAGTAGATTTGTAACATTAGTTGATACCTCATAATAAAGACATACTAATTGAATGTTGATAATGCATTACTCAGGTTGCAGGTTGATCTGATTTTCTCTATGGTTAATAGTTTCAAATTCATACTAAATAAAAGAATACCTTAAATTTATTTTCTACAGATTTAACTTTTGCTAAAAGCATATAAAATATAACATATCATCGTAAGATTTAATGCATTGCTAGCTATTTGATTATTTATACAATAATGTTAAGCCTATTAAAAATATAAAAACAATCAGACATTACTAAAGAAAGTTAAATATAAATCAAATCTTATCATTTCTTACCGTCATCACTAAAGATCTTGTAGCTGGTATGACAGGTTCCTCTATTTTAATTGTAATGATATCATGAATTCGATCACTTTGAAGCTAATAAATTTCAACTTTAGTTTTGACATTCACTTCAGATTGTGAGTACGCAATTTCTACTACTAGATTTGGCTAAAGCTGAGTCTAAAAATATAATGTTAAATTAATACTATAAAATCTTAAAAAATAAAATCAGGAAATAAATAAAGGCAATAACTCATCATATACTACTTTCATCATTTCTACTTTTAACCAATCAAGATTTCGTTACTGATGTCCATAATGTATCAGCTTCTTTACCTGTTCTAGAAGTCTTTGTTGCTTTTGTTAAGGATAATTAATGATAGATTTAGCTAATATTAATAATATCAAAGGAAACTAACAATTCACTTGTAGATCTATTACCAAGAATGTTAACACAAGTACTAATCACATCAGCAGTTACTGAACTAATTTGCCAGACTATAATACTAAT